TTTTTTCACATACACACGCTTTCACCCCCCCCCCCCACACACACACACATATCACACAAACAAACGAACGCGCGTGTGCGCACCTGCGCCACAGGGCGTATCTGTCTGGGTTTCGTCTGCCGGGCGAATCGCAGAAGATTGACCGCATGATGGAGGCGTTTGCAAAGCGCTACCACGACTGCAACCCACAGCAATTTGCAAACTCAGACACGGCGTACGTGCACGTGTGCGGGCCTGCGCGCGCGCGCGCGTGTGTGTGTGTGTGTTTGTGTATGTTCATGTACTCGCATGTGCGGCTGCTTAAAATCCTTCCTCACTCACTCACCCACTCACTCACTCACTCACTCACTCACTCTCACATGTGTGCGTTCCTGTCCCCACCACATTGCAGATATGTGCTGGCGTTTGCGACAATCATGCTGAACACGAGTCTGCACAATCCAAACATCAAGGACAAGGTGCGTGGCATCGCAAACGCATGTGCACCATTCGCCCTTGCCTCCATTTGTCACAAGTGCCCTTTCACCAGCATCGCTATCAACCAACCACCAATCACCACCTCTTCTCACATCCTCCCTCACCAACCACCAATCACCAATCACCAATCACCACCTCTTCTCACATCCTCCCTTACCAACCACCAATCACCAATCACCAATCACCACCTCTTCTCACATCCTCCCTCACCAATCACCAATCACCAATCACAATCACCACCTCTTCTCACATCCTCCCTCACCAATCACCAATCACCAATCACCAATCACCACCTCTTCTCACATCCTCCCTCACCAATCACCAATCACCAATCACCAATCACCAATCACCACTACCACCAATCACCAACCCTCCAACACCACACTGCTGCGGGTTCAGATGTCGCTTGACATGTTCATTGGGATGAACCGTGGAATTGACAACGGCGGCAGCCTGGACGCTGACCTGCTCACCGTATGTGTTGATGGTGGTGGTGGTGGTGGTGGTGGTGGTGGTGGTGGCGCTTGCGGTGTTTACCTCTAAACGTGTGACACGTTGCAAAACCAGCCACACACACACACACACACACACACACACACACACACACACACACACACACACACACACACACACACACACACACACACACACAAAACACACACACACACACACACACAACACAACACAACCACGACCACCTCACCTCCTCCAATCCCCCTCCCACTCCTCAACCTCTCGCCATCTCTGCCCACCAGCGCATTTACGAGAGCATCCGCGACAAAGAGTTTGACCTGCACGACACGAACGACGGATTTGTGGAGACGTTTGTTGACGCGGAGAAGAGCGGGTGGATGCTCAAGGAAGGTGCGCCCGTGCACATGCACATGATGGTGGCGGTGGTGATGATGATGATGGTGGTGGCGATGATGGTGGTGATGATGATGATGGTGATGGTGGTATTGTCGTGTGTGTGTGTGTGTGTGTGTGTGTGTGTGTGTGTGTGTGTGTGTGTGTGTGTGTGTGTGTGTGGATACGAGAGGCGT